AATTTGTTTTCTCTAAAGGTAGATTGTCCAGAAAGAACTAATCGAATTTCATGTATATGGCATAAATAACTAGGCTATTTCCATTCCCGTCACGCCAGATGGGCAGTGGTTAAGATTTCTTCACACTCAACTTCGCGAACTCCCTAAATGAGCTCATAATTTAACCTACTCTGAAATGCGGAGGAGAAAATAAACCAAAGGACTAAATCCTTTCTCCGGTCATTAGTCAGCACTGCTTGGTCGAAGTCGCAAAGAGAGTAGAAATTTACAGTTTTCCAGCTTCTCTTTAGAACTCACGTCACATGACAAAGGTTTCAAATGTAGACCGCGAAGCAGAGTGCTGAGGTTGCTATAAACCTTCTTTTGCTTCTTGCTTGTCATCTCAAGGAAAGCGAAAAACTACCTTTCCAGACATTTTGATGTTTTTCGCTAGTACTACGTGGTCCGGATTCCAAGGCAAGAAGACCTTAGTTGATTGGATATTTCGTTTAGAACATGGTTCGCAAACGTTTTAGTATCGCGACCCAATTTTAAGTATTCGGACCGGTTTGCGACCCCAAATTCTCCAGGAATATGTATTTTATAATACGTGTGGAACTTTGCTGTGCAGTTTTTTAGCAACCGTGCGATCCCCAAAAGAGTTTTTTCTCCTCTTATTGCGCCCCGACACTTATTGTGAAGACAGTTGATTTAGAAAAATGAGTAAATTATATTTGCAAAGAGAATATGTCCGAGAAACTTTGATTTCACTGCGTACTCATTTACAATAAAAATCCAGACATAATACGGAGGGACGTGTGCTGCAATCTTACATTTTTGATGGGTAGCTTAAGTGAGTAGAAACTTTCATATGCATCCAACAAGAAATTTAAATAAATGATGTAAATATCATGCTTTGAAACAAAGAAAGTATGCAATTCCTCAAGCTAACTAACAACATACACATAATTAAGTATTTTAAGATAAAACTAGTTTTAATTTTGGGACAGTATAGCTATTGTTTGAAGTCATTATTTTTTTCGTTTGTATCTTTATATCTGATTTTTAAGAACAGGATTGCCTAAGTAACCAAAAATAAAGAGCAGTACATAACATTATCTGTTATGTTTTCGTAGCTTAATGTTGGGAAGTTATAAAGCAGAATTTAAATTCATCTTTAAATGTCTAAAAAAAGGTTAAAGAAACTAATGATTTAGTGCATTTAATTTGGAGAGCTAAATGAGGTGATTGTCAATGTTTTCAATGTTGAAAATTTTGCTTCATCGCAATTGACACTGTAATTAATCCAATCTATTACATTCCGAACTGAATACATAATATTTACCTCTATGCACTGATATCTTATTCTACAGTGCATTTTGCTTGAATCCAATCGTTGCATCTTTAATTTTAAAAATTTATTACTTAACTAAAGCCTGGAAAAGTACAGAAACAAATGCCGGTTTCCGGAAAATAAACCGCTGTAAATAAATCGTTTTAATACTATATGAAGTGCAATTTTGTACTTTTGTTCGGTATTTAAAGATAATAGCATTTTGAAGAACAAAGAATTTCCATTCTTTTTGAATTATTATTACGTGTCTCTTTTTTTCATGGATTTAGAAATAAGATTTTCAGAATCGTATGCTGCCTAATGACAATTTTATATGCGATACCAAATTAAAATATATTTTTCTGAGAAATGATCAAGGAATAAGGAATCAGTTATGATTTCCTTACAAAAGCAGAAAAATGTGAAACTGAACAAGATTAAGGACAGTACTGAAAATCTGTAGACATTAGTCTGATTTAAAACATGCTTTTTTAAAGAATGCCCTAACACTGTTGCAATGCAAATTAAACCAGTTGTTTTAAAGCAATACGTAACATTTGTTAGTAAGTAGGATATGAATGAATATAGAAATAGAATGGCATAAAATACCTACGAAGCAAATATTCTTATTTTTCTGAATAATCTTCGCTTATATTGAGGCTCTTCTGCGAACAATGCATGGGACTCCTAGTACCTGTTCCATCATGTTTTTTGTATGGCTGTTGAGCGAATCCTCGCTTCATGAAGCCTGGAATTGTCAGAATAGAATAGTAGGCTACCTCAGCATAACTCGTTAAGAAAATTCTTAAGGAACTTGTAATTTTGTCACTTACTACTACAGGATAATCTTAGGTTGTTGGAAAGCGGTATATTGAAAGCGGGATTCCATCATAAACAATCAAATAGCCAAGAAAGATATACTGAGATTCAATGGGTCCTGACATTTTCGGCGAAAATTTAACATTTGATCGCTTTATGATGGAGCAGGTACATTGACTCCTCGTCTCTGGAACTGGACTGGCAGAAGAAACATCACAACCCACTGCTTGCTATAATGTAATGCATGGCAACGATTATAATGGTATAGTATGGTAATGATTATAACGGTATAGCATGGTAACTATTTCCCCATTGTTCTGGCGTAACTAAAGGACCGGTGGCGTTAGATTTTGGCTTGATACAAATCATGGTTATGTCGGTACCTACCTAAAGACACATTTGGAAGTACTCATAGCTATTCTCGATATCCCACTACCATTTTTAACTTATTTTCCTGATAAGTGTATGAAAATGCTATCAGAATTCCTTTAGTTCTCATGCATGTAAAATATTTCAAGGTGCAAATATATTGAGAAAAATATAAATTCGCCATCTTTAGTTAATAGAAATTTCCCATTACAATTAATTATGAAGACGTATGTAGTATCTGCTCATGAAATTCCTTAGTTCTTTTGCTGTCATGCAGTTGGAAATTTTCTCTCTGGTAGTATAAATTTGCTAATCATTAAAAAATAATAGATGAGCCAAGCGAATGTTAAAAGCATAATTATGGTCTAGTACTTTTTCTCGTTCTTTTTATTGTTTATCTCGTTGTTATTTACTGAATTCCAAAAATCTAAGTTGTTGAAACTTTTATGGTCAGAGCTCGTAAAATTCAATTTCAAATATTCTAATGTTGTCGTATGTGCAACATCTCAAAGAATTTAGAGTAGTAAATGTAATAAAATTAGGATGGGAAGTATTTCTTAATTTAAATTATAATAATGCTCATGTATTTTGAGTTTAATCATAGAAACATTGCGTGAAATGGGAAAAGTATCTCTGGTGATTATTTATAAAAAACGATCCATTCAACTAACCTTATTCCAAACAGAAGCTTAAGAATAAAAAATCTGAGAAGCAATAAAAAGGAAAGAGTTTGTAATAAAAGAAAAGTTTATGTCTCCTAGTTAGCAGGAGAAGATATTTTTAGCAGAAGTAAATAATCCCACTTCTTTTCTTAGAGTAAAATATTTTTTATTTTTCTTTTCTTTTTTAAAGTGCATTATGACACTGAGAGCCGGACCATAAAGGAAAGATTTCCATTTACATCATTATTGAATAGATCTTTATAAAAATGGTAATTTAAATCTTTTGAATAGTTTTAATAATGAAAAATTAAAATCATTTCTTTCTACATAATTTTATTTATAAGCATTAAATGACACATTGCATAGCTATATTACGATTCATTTTAAATATAACACTAGGTATCTGATCTTGAATTTTGGGTAAAACGTAAGATATATGTACTTCATATAATTTGTTGAAGGATTTCAAAATGTCCCCATAATATGAAGATTCTCTGTCTGAAAAAGGAAAATTAATACAAAGTTAAGAAAATTAAAAAAATATTGTAGGATAAGAGATCTTTTTATTAAAACCCGAGTATTCATTTATATGGTATTGAAAATTAAATTTAAATAAAGCAGAAAGTCTTATCAAATACCTACATTGTGTGGAAACTAATCTCGGTTGGCAGGTGACAGGTGACGGAGGACAACGTGGTAATTCTAAATTTCGAGATTATTTCTTTTGTATTCAGTACTTCATCAAATGTTTAACATAGAAAACTTAGTTTTTTGTACCGCCGAGTGCATTTTGAACTACGTTTCTCTTTTTAAATTGAATTATAATATTTCACTTTTAATTAAATTTACATAGGAATTAATGGTACATATATTTACATATTTTTTAATTATAACAGCTAATCTCTTTTATTCCGCTGCAAATGAAATCAAAATTTTATTTTCTTGCTCATCACGGTTTTTATGCAAATGAAAAAGCTGATTTCTTAGCTAAAGATGCCTTAAATTTACCCATTGATATCAACATTAGCCTTCCAAAGAGCTATTGGAACTCCTTTCATTATCAGAAGCTTTTAGTTAAGTGGAATGAGAAATATATCTTGTAATGCTAAGGTCACCAAAATCTTCTTACGTTCTATTTACCATTGACTGCATTCTGAGTCTTTCCTTTCTGTAAATTTTAAAATTTATCAGTTTTTATCTGGTCACGGTAAATTTGCAAGTTACCTGTTTAGTTTTAAACTAACAATGTATGTTATTTAAGTCAATTAAAATCAAAAAATTTATGTTAGTGTTCAAAAAGAGAACATCAAGATGTGGAACATTTGATTTTCTCATGCCTTACATTTAACGGCTCTAGATTATGCTTGCAGAACGATTTGAATATGTTCAGAGAGGCTTGGCCAGTGAACTTATCTTTTTTCGTGAAGTCCAGACTGCTGTTCTCTGTTTTTGTTCGTTTTATTTATGGATATAACTTTTAATGTTTTAGTTAACTTACTTTTGTAAGCTCCGTGTGTGGTGCACGGGGAGTCTGTATGTTTTCAAATATATATATATATATATATATATATAAAACCCTTAAGGTTTTTCTTTAGGTATTACTTTTAATTTTACTTGAAGAGGTTAATATGTTTTCAATCTAATTTTTAATTTATTGTCATAAAATTATAACAGAAGAAGTTCAAAATCCAGATGATACAAAGCAATGGATTATTCAATGAAATTATACGCAAATATCCAACATTTTTAATTCAGAAACGAACATCACTTCAAATCTTTGAAATGTTTAAAATTTTAAAAAGAAAAATGACTGCAGTTTTCAATTTCTTTTATCACAGATTATTATTGAAGGCGTAAGAGGAACCAGTTACATAGGAGATACAGCTATAGATGATGTCTTGCTGACAACAGCAGATTGCGATAGTTTGGGAAATGTGACGCAGCCTACAGCTGGTAAGCATATGAGAAATCTTTCCATGTGACTGTTAATAATTCAAAATGTAGAATTTACTTTAAATTCATTATCTGTGGGACCAAAAGCACAGAAATGATCGAAAAATCTAAATGTAGTTTCTTTATATTTCCAGAAATAAATTGTGTGGAGCAAAGAAATCAAAGACTTTAGCCGAGCGGTATATCGTATAATGTTTAAATATAGAACAGTGAGATACTAATAAAATTTAAAATAAATTTTCATTCTTTGTCTTAAAAACGTTTTAATAGTTTTATGAGTGTAAGGCATTTTGAAACTTTGATGAATGCCTAAAGCAATGTTTGCCTTTCAAAGCTGGAATACAGTTTATTGTTCTGTGTAGCCCCAAATCTCACCCTCACTGTTCTGTATCTTGTCTGTATGTTTTCAGAGTAACTTGTCTACATTTCTTCCCATCACTATTCTTTTCTAAGCTTTATCTTTGCCTAACGTCTTATATTCGCTCTCCTCTTCAACGGCGAAACCGATGTGATAAAAAATATCTTATTTGCCAATGTGGTTTGGTGTCGTTAATTTGATTATGGCAAAGCACGCGAGGGCTGTTTGCCTGACAAAAGGTATGCCTTCGCCAAGGGCTTTCTAAGGAAAACTGGCTTATATTTGTGTTAATCTTGGTGAAATGCGCCGCCACTAGACCGTCAATCTCAGAACAGCTGTTTTTGTTAGCTGGACGAGTTCAATATACGCAGAGTAAAAGGAAAGATTCCGGGATGGCTTGTAACGGAAAGTATTTACATCGCGGAATGGTTTTCAGTAGCTGTTGGAGATGTGCTGGATGCTTATTCTTAAATCGTGGAAGGACTTTCATTGCGTATTTTTATGCTCTGTGTTTTATTGAATCTTTTGTTTAAGGACAGATTAATTTTTGTGAATTCGTGAAACAAAAATAATATTTCGAAGGGAAATGCATGTTTGAAATGCAAAAAATTTAGGCATTGTATGCTTATTTAAAATTTCCTTTCTTTCTTAATTTCTTTAAATTATATAATTTTGTTTATTATTTATTTACTAGAACTCTTATTTTAGTAACAGGATTACATGAATTGAATTAAAAAAAGCGTAACTGTAAGTTTTTATTTATTTAACATGTTGTAGAAAATTTTAACTGTAATTTTCTTTTGCTTTTAATATTTACTGCTGATATGATAATGTTACAACAAAACATAATTATAACTTTTTCCCTAGTACACAAAATAAATAATGCTTTCTAGTATGATATATTTTGGTGGAGCTTTAAAAGGTCTACCATTATGTGAAAAGAGTATTGTATTCACTTTCTGTGTAAATTTACACAGAAAAAAAAATGTTCATGAAATAAGACATATAAAAAAGTCCAGTCATAAAGTAGACAGTGTTCTTCGAAGTTACACCATTCAATCATTGGTAATCAATGGGTCTTTAAAATTTTATTTTTCAAATACATTTATTCTAAATACTAGGATATAAATGGTTGTCTTAATGATTTTTCTAAGTTACAGAAGTGTCAAACAAAATTTATATTATAAAGTACTGAAAATTAATAAAAGATTCACAATAAATATTTCTTATTTAAATTTCATTTTATAAGGAAAACTAAAAAAGCATAATACATAAACTAACATGAGGAAAACCTATCTCCAAAGTTTCACATGGTTGACATTAATGTGAGCTATTAATATAAAATAATCAAATGGCTGGCAATAGTGGTAATTAAAATTGCAGTATAGATAGTTATATGGCTTAGCAGATCTATGATTAGATTATGTAAAGCAGCATGTTGTGACTATGTGCGTTAGTATGCCTTTTGCGTCGAGGACTTTCTAGAGCAAACTGTCTCATATTTTATATTCCTAATGTATAAATTTACATAATTACTCACGCGTTTCTCCCAAGTAACTCCCTAACAGTCGTGTTAATAAAATAAATGATTGGCAGTGTTGTATCTTGGTACATTCTTGAAGCGAGTTATTTTTAGTTTTTGCATTTGATATTATTCCATTTAATTGACTAATCAAAATTACGCAGTCTGAAAGTCAACAAAATCTGTTAATTTATCTAAAACAAGTGATATATTCGGAAAAGAAATTAAGTGCCCATAAGCTTAACAAAACTGGAAGCATCTGAAAAAGTATTTTAACCAAAAATAAATAAATAAATAAATAAAACTATATAGTCAGAATGCTAAATAAAAGTGTAAAACCTAAATTTGGAACATGCGAGTTAAAAGTAAATTTGTAATTTAAAATATCGCATCCAATATATAAATGTGTATTAAATTTTATAAATGTTATAAAACTAAATTAACATTTTAAATTAAATATTTCTCAATATTTTTGTAATTTTCTCGTTCAAATCTCACAGACGGAATAGGTATATGGATGTTTTCATTATAATATAATAGGAGCATTTCAATTTAATATTCAGTATTATAAAAACACTTTATTTATAATACAGAAGGAATAAAAATACAGTTCTTGATTTTCAACAAATATAGAGCATGATTTTACACATGTTGTGTCCACTCAGAGTTTTACGTGCTAAAAATAAGAATACATATTATACTTGAACTTACTAGAGAAAAATTTCACCTGAAAACAAATGGTAGCTGCATATACGTAGAAAGAACATGCCGAAAATGACAGCCTCGTCTTTTTCTATTCCTTTACATCATCCCTAATTTCACTTACCATACCTACAAGACTTGGACGCTTCCAGCTAACAAAGGTAGCCGTTCCAGGTATGAACGCCTTCTCCATGTAGCGAGTATGTTTGTTGTGATCTGAAGTCGAACTATCAGTGTTCAGCAACATTACTGGTCGGCCAGTAAGGTGGACTATTAGTCGGTTTAAAGAATTCAATTTAGTTACGAATTAGCGTTAAGCCTATTTCTTCATTTCATACGCTTGCTCTGACATTTACTGCATAATCTTCTCTCTTAGAATGCATTGCAGTCCAGCTTAGAATACTTTCAATCCTTTTAAAACTGCTGGTTGAGAAACGAAAGGCGAAAAGGTACACATTTTGCGTATGATTTAAGGATTTTTAATTTTAACACTAATTTTTAGAGGAATGTATAGAAAATTTAGGGGGGTATTTGCAGATATTAATTTGGCTTCAGAAATAAATATTAATTATGAAAGGAAATCCCTCTGTTATGCTTAAAATTTATTAAAATATTTATTTTTTACTTACGTAAAATGTTTATAGTATTTCAGATGAATTTATAAAAAAAGAAAAACATTTTTTAAAATACTTTAAAAATATTTGGAAAATTTTGACAAAAAAGGCACATTTTCTCATTAACAGATAAATCCTATACTATAGTATATAGAAAATAACATGTAATATCATTTCAGATAATTATACGTTATTTTAGACAAATAAAAGTGAGATTAACGTCAGAGCTTCCCAAAGGGTTGTAAGGATCTTAAGTTTTACTAACGTTTATTTTATTTTAAATCTTTACTATCACTTCTTATTTTCTACTTTCGGCCCGAATTATAAGCGTTAAGGTTTTTATGCAAAGTTTGTCTGGCGAACGCCAAGTATTTAAGTTGTGGCTTTTTGCCAAGCGAGAGAGAGGAAGCAGTGAGTCGAAGCAGGCCGCTTACCTTAGAAGTTACGCAGTTGCTGTTTGCCTTCCAGGCCAGAGGTTTTAATCCTCTTGATAAAAAACGTATTGTAGTGTTCACAGTTCTCTGTACTACATACGCTTCCTGTTAATATAAGGCCAATCTTCCACGTTATTATTCTAAAGTTAAATTAGAGTTTAGTTTTATTTTTATACTTTTACGTTTTGCCCCCAAGTAGCGGGTCGGTGTATTCCGAGGTACGGAAGTCATTGTAAATAGAGAAAAATAAAGGGTTTTGTATACCCTTCTTGTGTATCCTGTTTACTTCCCACCGTTTTGAACATAGCTTTAGTAAGCTCTCTGTTCCGAGTCAGGTCCTTGCATAGTTCCCGAAGAAGGTTAGAAGGAAACATTGACCCTGATAGTGGCGCCCAACGAAGAAGAATAACCATGGCCGAGTTTCAAGAAGAACCTGTGCTGCCTGCAGAAACGGCTCAGAATCCAGAAATGCCAGCTGCCGCCCTGGAAGGATTTGGTTACATCGTCCAGACCATGCGCGCTTCGATTAAACCAGAAGCAACATTTAATGGAAACTCACCGGTAACCAGTTTTTTGGAAAAATTGGATGACCACTTCATGCTCTACCCCGTGCACGAGTTTCAAAAAGTTACCTTAGCTACCAGCGCTTTGAGGGGCCAAGCGCTTAACTGGTTCAAATGTATAGGCAGAAGTCTCTTGGGTCAAGCAGGAAGTCCCACCTATACTTACGAGAATTTCAAGACTGCCCTACTAAAAGCCTTCCCTGTTGTAAGGGATCGTGCGAAATTAGAAACGGAACTTTTCAGTATATATCAAGCAAAGAATCGAAAATCTCTCAAGCTTTATTTTAAGAAAAATTCACGTGTCTTCAAACTCTTGTATGGAAACCGTCCGGATCCTGAAATAATTCAAGTGATTTTGCCGAGGTTACTGCCCCAAGTGCAAGACTTTATTGAATTAAGAAATCCGACTACACTGGAAAAGTTATTTGAGCTAGCAATCCAGTTTGAAAGTAGAAGAACGGCGGACGTCGAAAGAAGACGCCAATATCAACAGCGAAACCAATTTGGTACGCCAAGACTACAGCAAACTCAAGCACATGGCTACGGAGGCAAAGCGAATCAGTGGGCAAGGAAACCCGAGCATTCAAAAACAGCCGGCGAACGTCGACAGTTCAATAGCAATCCAGGAAAAAAGTCTCAAGGCCAGTGGAAAAAGAAGGAAAGCACGGAAATGAAAAATAATTTAAACTAAAACGGATTTCTGCTGACGAGAGGGTGCGGAAATCCGAAGGCCACGAAAACCCCTCTTCCTTCAAGTTAAATACAGTAATGGTGAAAAATTTGACTCTTCCGAAGATTGAAGTGTTG